CCAAGGAGATAAAATTCCCAGTTGAGAATAAGAGGAAACCAGATAAGAGAGCAAGCTATATATTATAGGCCAAGGTATACAATAGAACTTACTTTTCAAATGTAATTACAATTATAACTAATGTCCTTTGGAACTTTGAAACTGCATTAGTTACTTTAAAGTAACTTCCCAAGTTTTGCAACAACATATCTTCTTATTTTTCCCTGGTAAATCTGTCCCCTATTCATTCTCTTCCATTCACTTGACATTTGACTTATTAGGCAGGAACTATTTTTGTTTGTTTACATGCTTTAAAAGGTAAAGGTTTCCCCTTGACATAAAGTCTAGTTGAACTAGACTCTGCGATTCTGCGGGGTGGTGCTAATCTCCATTTCTCAGCTGAAGAGCCAGCATTGTCCGTAGATGCCTCCATGGTCATGTGGCCAGTGTGACTGCATGGAGCACTGTTAGCTTCCTGCCGGAATGGTACCTATTGATCTCACATTTGCCTATTTTCAAACTGCTAGGTTGGCAGAAGCTGGGGCTAACAGCGGGAGCTCACCCTGCTCCTTGGATTTGAACTGCCGACCTTTCGGCCAACAAGTTCAGCAGCTCAGTGGTTTAACCCGCTAGCTCCAAATGTATTGATATATGGGAATGTGATGAAAGAGAAGACAAACCTAAAGAAGAATTTTGGATTTGGTGTTATCTTGCTCAAGTAATCACATTAGAGGGATGGCATATTCCCTAGCAAAAGTGGGAACCATTGGCCTTTTAAGATGTTTGGGGCATCAACCCCTAACAACCTCATCCAACATACCATCCTGAGGGTAAGGGACTACCATCAGGATAGTATGAGAGTTGTAATCCAAACCATCCTGAACACCAAAGTTTTTCTACCATTGCTCTAACACAGGAGTGAGCCAAGTGGTCCAATTGTTGACGTTCTGTATCATCTAGCATTCTTTACCATTAGCTAAGCACACAAGAGCTGATGGGAGTTGCAATCGAATTCTATCTGACAAGTCACACATCCCCCACCATGCTTTACCATACAAGCGAATTGTGTTTATTTCACCATACATTGTTTCTCATTGAACAACTTTCATTCCCTCAACTTCAAAACCCTCAACTCCAAACACTAATACTAATACTAATACTAATAATAATGCAAAGACTCTGGCACAAGCCAGTCAAGGTGGTCCCAGTGGTGATCAGCACACTGGGTGCAGTGCTTAAATACCTTGGCCTGCACTTAAACACAATCGGAGCTGACAGAATTACCATCTGCCAGCTGCAAAAGGCCACCTTACTGGGATCTGCACGCATTATTTGCCGATACATCACACTTCCTAGACACTTGGGAAGTGTCTGACGTTTGATCCAATATAACAGCCAGCAGAGTGTCTGTTGTGGACTCATCTTGTGGTGTTTCAAATAATAATAATCATCATCATCATCATCATCATCATCATCATCATCATCATCATCTTGCAAATAGTACCAAGTTGTCTCGCCCACCAATATCTAAATTGCTGTTTCATAGTTATAAGGGGAATTTGGTGGTAAACTGGTTTAGATGGTAATAAACAAGCAAAATCTGAACTGGTGTGGGAGTGGGTGGCACACTTTCATTCCAAATTTGAGGATAGAGCCCAAGGGATCATTGCTTTTAAATCAGATCACGTTGTTAATAATCTCAGATGCACACGCATGTGTGTATACAATGCCTGCCTCCCCTCCAGCCCTGCACATGATTCATAACTCTGGCATTCTTAAAAATGCCTTTGGTGATTGTCATGTGGGAGAAAATACAAGCTCTTACTTTCATAAACCTGTGCCACAACTTTCACCCATGACAGCTCAAATTTTCATATGGGATAGAGCAATAGAACTTCTTTGTGCAGGTTAATGATAATTTCCCATATTCAGTCTTCAAAAACTGCTACCTTTGGATCAGTTTTCCTAAAAATCAGGTTTCCAGTTTTAACTGTGTGCTTTTCCCACAAACACCTGCTTGGCAAATTAAGAAAACATTTTTAAATGGCAATTGCTAGTGTAATCTCCAAATCCAATTATTGGTTGCCAAAGTGAACACTCTTTGCTAATTATCCATTATCATCATTGTCATCATCATCAAGACCACTATCACTGCTTTTGTGTAAAACTGCAATGAAGGGAGGGGCTGAAATTCACCTGTTCATCAGCGGTTTGCTGCCCCTTTTGGCACCTTTTTGATACCCTTTTTTCTCCTTCCAGTGAAGCTGCTTCTTTTGAATGTAATTTGTCACTGGATATTATGTTATGAATGTGATAACAGCATAAATGAATCAATTATGGCATTATAACAACCCTAAGCATGACTGTCATTGTTTCTTTTGTTGTGTTGCTTGTAGTCTAATTTGTCGGTAAAAGAAACGCCAAAGTTAGATGTCTGATGGGCAGCTTCTATTGTGGCTGTTGGTTTCACAGTCACTTGGGTGAAACTTTGCAACTTCATCTATAGTCACTCTAAACCAGTGAATGTGTATCTTCTTTTCCCACAGCCTGGTGTCTATTTTGACATCCCTAATTATGAAAATCCTCTCAGAGAGATACAATCTCGTTTCGTCTACAACACTATTGCGTGTTATTGAGGGTTTAAGATTGTCACTCATCCAAAATCACAGATTATGATGTCAAAGTGGAAAAGTACAATTATTTGTTTGATGTGAAAACTAAGAAATATAGTGGGCCAGTGACTGCAACAATATATCTGGGACCAGATCCTGGGATATAGGACAGTGTAGATCCATCCTGAGAGAATAATAAGAGTTTCACATCTTACTCAGGATCAGTGATAATTTAAGATTGAGTTTCATAATCAGAAAAGGTTACCTAACTATGATTTTCATCATTTTTTTTCCTTTATGGCTCCTAGAGATGTCAGGACAATGCATTAAGTTCCAACCACAATAGCTCCTAGCTTTGTATTCGAACAAACACATACATGTATGTACACATACAAGGAATAAGACCACAGTTTGAGCTAAAGGGGCTGCTTTCAGATAAAGGTGAAATGAGAAGATTATTTCTTCTCATTTACTTAAGGTAGCAGGATAGAGGACATGTGAGGAATCTTAGCCAGAAAGTGGAGGCAGAGCAGAGGTTGAATCTCTTTGCCCTGATGGAGGAAAGTAACTAGCTAAATACATAGGCCCCTTGTAAGTTGAGTCAAATTAAGCTTTGGAAATGATAGAAAATTGCTGCTCTGCAAATTGAACTAGAGAAAGAAAAAACACCCCATAGGCACATATCAATTTATCCATTCATCCCTTATTTGCTCAAAAGGAAACCTCTAGAATCATAGAATCAAAGAGTTGGAAGAGACCTCATGGGCCATCCAGTCCAACCCCCTGCCAAGAAGCAGGAATATTGCATTCAAATCACCCCTGACAAATGGCCATCCAGCCTCTGCTTAAAAGCTTCCAAAGAAGGAGCCTCCACCACACTCCGGGGCAGAGAGTTCCACTGCTGAATGGCTCTCACAGTCAGGAAGTTCTTCCTAATGTTCAGATGGAATCTCCTCTCTTGTAGTTTGAAGCCATTGTTCCGTGTCCTAGTCTCCAAGGAAGCTGAAAACAAGCTTGCTCCCTCCTCCCTGTGGCTTCCTCTCACATATTTATACATGGCTATCATATCTCCTCTCAGCCTTCTCTAAGTTTAATGGAGCTTACTTTAAGTTTTTTTTAAATAAAAACCTATATATGGTTGTTAATAGGAACACAGATTTGAAAGAGATCATAAAGGCCAACCCATTGCCATATAGAAATATATAATCCAGTGTTTCTTAACCTGGGGATGGGGATCCCTGAGGGGTCATGAGGGGGTGTCAGAGGGGTCACCAAAGACCATTAGAAAATACAGTATTTTCTGTTGGTCATGGGGGTTCCGTGTGGGAAGTTTGATCCAATATTATCATTGGTGGGGTTCAGAATGCTCTTTGATTGTAGGTGAACTATAAATACCAGCAACGACAACTCCCAAATGTCAAGTCTATTTTCCCCAAACTCCACCAGTGTTCACATTTGGGCATATTGAGTATTCATGCCAAATTTGGTCCAGATCCATCATTGTTTGAGTCCACAGTGCTCTCTGGATGTAGGTGAACTACAATTCCAAAACTCAAGGTCAATGTCCACCAAGCACTTCCAGTATTTTCTGTTGGCCATGAGAGTTCTGTGTGCCAAGATTGGTTCAGTTCCAACCTTGGTGGAATTCAGAATCCTCTTTGATTGTAGGTGAACTATAAATCCCCACAACTACAACTCCCAAATGACAAAATCAATTTGTGCCAAATTTGGTCCAGTGAATGAAAGTACATCCTGCATATGAGATATTTGCATTAGATTTCATAACAGTAGCAAAATTACAGTTATGAAGTAGCAACGAAAATAATTTTATGGTTGGGGGTTCCCACGTCATGTGAACTGTATTAAGAGGTCGTGGCATTAGAAAGGTTGAGAAACACTGATATAATCAAAGACTCCCAACAAATGGCCATCTAGCCCATTTAAAATCTTTCAAAGTAGACTCTGTCATACTCGAAGTCCACATATTCCACTGTTGGAGAGCTTTTGTCATCAAGAAGTTCTTTCTAATGTTTAGATGGAATCTCTTTTCCCGTAATTTGCTCCGTGTCTTAATCTCTGGAGCAGCAGGGAATAAGCTGGTTCCATCTTCAACAGGATATTCCTTCAAATATTTAAACATGGCTACCATGTCACCTCTTACATGTTTATCTCTTCTTCAGGATAAACATACTCAGCTTCCTAAGCCATTCTTCATAGGGCTTGCAACCCATCCCTTTTACCATTTAGGTCACCATTCTCTGCACACATTAGAGTAGGCATGGGCAAACTTCAACCCTCCAGGTGTTTTAGACTTCAGCTCCCACAATTCCTAACAACCTTAGGCCCTTTCCTTTTCCTCCTTTTCCTCCTCTACATAACTAAGGGAAGTGTAGCACATTGTAATCTTACCTTCATCTGTGATGAGGACAAAGTTGTGCTCAGGGAAGCAGGTGAGCAGGACAAGCAAAGGAAGCAATCTCATCCAGCACAAAAGGACTGCCATCCTACTGGAGGCTGAGTTGGGAATGCATCCAGCATGATACCTACATCAGCATCTTGTGCATCAGAATGTCCAGACTGAATGCTGGATACTTTGAAATACCATGGAGTGGATTCTTGCAGATATTATCAGGTCAGCCTTCAGTAGCAGTGGAGGAGGCAGCTAGCCCTCCTGCTCTCTGAGCCTTTGTTGCTAGACCTCTAGAAGTTATCTGGGATGTGTTGGTCCAGTTTTTCAGGAAGCCTAAATGAAAGCCTCTAGCTCCAGCCCCTGCCCTACCACTTCCCCAGCTACAAACCACCAGGCTATGGTCTCCAAGAGAGGCACCCCTGCCTGGTGTAGGCTGCTTCGATCAGATAGGCAGTATGTCCTGCCCTTGTGGTGGCTGGTTTTTAGGAAGACAGGATCTATGAGCAGGAAGCAAACACCCCTGGCCCCTGTTCAGGATAGTGTAGAGCAATGGGAAGGAGCTATTCTCAAAATAGGAAGTTCATCAACATTTTGAACAGCTGGTGGCAAGCTTATCAGCAGGGAGACAGAATTTTTTTTCTCCATTCTTCAATATACTGATCTTTTCATGTTGTTCTTGTGAATTTACAATGCAGAGTGCAGCAAGAAGATGTCTATACTTGTACCTTTCATTTAGATCACTGGAATTAATCTCCTATGGGACTAGCCAAAAACTTATTTTGGGGAGCTATAGCCAGCATTTTCTTAGTGGCACACGCTGATAAAATTCCCACATAGACATAGCTCATTTTGGAGAAGAGGCGACATTTTGGACACTGCAAAGGAAGCATTAATTCCCTCATGGTATAATACATCCATCCTATGTACTAAGCCATGGGGTTGGAAGGAGCCTGTATGTGAAGCAGCATCCTTTTTCTCGTTTGACTGAGAATGGAGGTGCACTGAATGTGCTTGTGAGCACTCAGGGACAAAGGAACAGTTGCGTGTTGTCGAAGCATGCTGTACCTTCATCTCTAGATGTTTAAAAGCAATCCAAATGTGTTTGGGTGCCAGAATGGGTAGACAGGGATATGCACCTGTGAGCCTCCCATCTTAAGTTCTGCCACCAGCCAAGAAGAGGAGCCCACCCCCCTTTCCATGCCAGTAGAAGAACATCTGTAACTATGGAATTCCAAAAATATGACTCAAGGGTTAGGTAGCCAAAGACTCTTTGAGCAGACAGTGAGTCTACAGGAGGGATTTGTTCGTGTTGGACTCAAAGGTAGATTCACAACTCAGGGTAAAGTCCAATTGGTTGTTACCATAGTAGGGTTGCCTAGACAATTATTACTAAGGTAGAGAGTAAGGAAAGGATTGGCGTTAACACTGTCATCAAGAATAAAGTTAATAAACTAGAGGTCAAACCTGGGAGATCTAACTCTGTATAAACAACACCAGTGTTAGAGAAAATGAGATACAGAGGCATTTCCTATTTCAGTTTTTCAACTACGAGGAAGTGATTGATATCAATTCAAAGGCCAAGAAATCTGTGGAGGAGTCAAAAATAAAATAGACAAAAAGACCATTTAAGAACACCCACAAACAAAAAAGGGCACTTGATTTTAGAGCATCCGAAAGAGTGAAACTCTCTTCAACCCAGGGCTTTTAGACACAGCCGAGTGAAGTGCTAGACCTGAAAGGCAGGCAGGTAGGCAAAGCTGTTGTTTATGTGGTGCAGCAAGATACATGGCGAGCAGAGGCGGCCCTAGGTAATTTTCAATGGTAAGCAAACAGTATTTTGCCCCCCGCCCCCCCAACCAATCATTGATATATATTTTCTGTTTGTCGTGGGAGTTCTGTGTGCCATATTTGGTTCAATTCCATCATTGGTGGAGTTCAGAATGCTCTTTGATTGTAGGTGAACTATACATCCCAGTAACTACACTTGCCGCACTTGCTCCCTTGCCTGGCCCTCTTTGGGTCTGGAGGCGTGCCTGAAGACCCCGGTGTGTGCACCAAAAGTCACCTCTTCTCCTGACTTTCTCCTCAGCCATTGGGACCAGAGAGAGAGAGAGAGAGAGAGAGAGAGAGAGAGAGAGAGAGAGACAGAGGTGGAGATGCCCACCTTTCCTGAAGGTAGGCGCAAAAACAAAGGAGGGAGCGGAGGTGGGAGATACCTCCAGCCAGAGGGGCTCTCTCTCTCTCTCTCTCTCTCTGGTCCCAATGGCTGAAGAGAAAGTCAGGAGAAGAGGCGACTTTTGGTGCACACGCTGGGGTCTTCAGACACGCCTCCGGACCCGAAGCGGGCCAGGTGTGGCGGCTCCGCCCCTTGGCCCACCCGTGGATTGGGGAGAGGAGAGGAGGCAGGTGAAGCGCCGGGGGATTGGGAAAGGGAGCCAGTCATGGGGTAGGGATCAAACGCGGAGAACGATTGAGCGCCGGCTCTGCTCGTGCACCCGGTGGCCGGGTGGAGCAGGAACGAGAGGGGCTAGGCAAGGCTCAAGGGCCCGGCCCCTTTGGGAAGAGGATCGCCGGGCAGCGAGGCAAGAAAGCCAAGGCTGCCCCCCCCCCAGACTGCTAGGGCTATTGTGAGCTGAGGGGGGCGCTCCTCAAGTGGCGGTCGAGGGGCATTTACAGAGGCGCCTCTGCGCCCTGGCAAAAAAATGTGTTCTGCGACCGCTTACTTCGCGTAATGGACGAACCGTGGGTGCAATGTTAGCCGCATGGTTAAATGGTGCAGCCCAGGCATTGCTTTAACTTTTGGGAGCTAGAACTTATACCTGTTGTCTTACCTCATTTAACAAATTTTGCTTTGTACACATCATTTATTACATATAAATTGGAGGCAGCAAAGAATTGCTAAGGAATAAACAGTCATATAGTCCTTTTTTCACCTTGCTGAACCATGCTTCTTAGGGTGAGATCATCTTTCAGCAACCCTGTTGCAGCCAAGGCAGTGCGTATAAGAGGGAAAGGATACTTAGGTTTTACTCTCATTTCCCTCATACGAGGGTTGGAACTTTAATAGTGGCAACTATTTATTTACATATAATACAAAAGTGATACATGCCACTATGTTTTACAGTCCTTCAATATAGTCGCCAGCATTGTGTATAACCTGTTACCAATGATTTGGAAGTTGCAGGGCACCTGTTGCAGCGCCTATTATGTTGATAGTTCGAATGGAGCGGTCTACTGCCCCAAGAATCTCTGGAACAGTTCTGAAGCGAATGCCACAAAGTGGTTCTTCATCTTAGAAATTAAGTCAAAGTCACAAGGGCTTACGTCTGGGGTGTATGGTGGATGGGCCAGCACTTCCCAGCCCCATCGATCAAGCAAATCAGCCACAGCTTGCACTGCATGTGGTCAAGCATTTTCATGCAAAATGATAGGGGCGTTCTGCAGAAAGTGTCACCGTTTTTTTCTCAAAGCTGGTCTGAGATGGTGTTCCAAAAATGAGCAGTAATACTGCGCATTGATGGTCTGATGTGGGGGAACGGTATGCATTAGGGTGACACCATCACAGTTGTACACAAGAATTACCTAACTTTCACATTGCTGGAGTTCTGATGAAATTTCGAACTTTGTGGTGACCTATAATTACGCCATTCGTTCAATTGGCGATTCAGTTCTGAATGGTACGATCTGGTCCAAGTCTCATACAGTGTAATGATATGGAATAAGAAAGCCTCTCCTACGCGCTCACAGTGCTCCAGGTAGGTACAAGCAGCATTGTATTGTAGACATTTTTGCATTTCGGTCAAATGATGTGGAACCCATCATGAAGCAATTTTTCTCCTTCAGAATGTGGAGCACAGTCGTATGTGCAAATCCTGTGTTTCGAGCCATCTCATGAATCGTATGGCGTCGATCACTATCCACGATAGTGACCATTCACTTCCGCTTCGCTGACACTAGGATGATCTGGCTGATGCATGTCTGCCACATTTTGGCATCCTTTGTTGAAGGCTTTTACCCCCCTTGCCACTGTTCTGTAAGGCAATGCAGATTCCCCGCAAGCCTCTTGAAGACCTTGATGACACTGTCATGCTGTATGACCTCTGGCACATTCTATCTTTATCCAACTCCATTGTTCTTGTTTTGAAAACATTGCGACAACACTTACTTTAGACCGCAAGCTAATACGAGGCTCAGTTTTTCACGTCACTCTGCATGCGTGTGATGTAGGAAGGGCAAATCTTTTTTCTCAGAGGTAAGGTTGGTGTGTAACTGACTTGTGGTATACGCAGCATTCTTTGGTTTCGTTATGTGGTGTCTTTACAGCAGTGTTGCCACTATTAAAGTTCTAACGCTCCTAGATGTTCCAGTTCCACACAAAGCTGGAGTATCATCCCAAAGTCCAAACAATGTTCCAACCACAGCTGCAGTTGTCTCCTTCCTCCCCCCCCCCCTCCAATTTAGCTTCAGTTAATTTCTGACAACGTATTTCCTTTCTTTCAATATCAGCCTTGAACAACTTGCTAGTTACAAACTACTGTTAATCCCTGTGGGTTACATCAATCCATTTGTGGCCATCTGTCTGTCTGCCTTCAAGGGTCAACTCTGTTCACATTGTTCTTTCTGGTGGCGGCAGGGATACAGAAATTGTGCAAAAGCATCTGTAACAATAAAGCCTTCCTATATTCACAAAAAGCTACCTGCACTGCATTGAATTATTAGTCCAATATTGCCAAATATTGTATTCTTTTACTGGAAGCAGCTCCCAGAGTTTCCCTTTCCCCTTGCCGTCACTCACTAGCTGACCTTTCTAACTGGACATACCAGGTATTGATCCTGACACCTCGAAGAATGATACACTCTATATTTTAACCCAAACGAATGTGATGAACCCAATGGATTACCAGATTTTAAGTGTAGGACTCAGTGGAATTTAACTAATGTGGCAAATAGATTAATAGAATCTTAGAGTTCGACTGGTCAACCCTCTGCCATACAACAATACACAACTAAAGCACCCCTGAAATATGACCATCCAACTTCTCTTTAAAGAACTCCAAATAAGGACCTTCCACCTTCAGAAGACCTTCTATTACACTTTCTATTCTGTTCTTACAGTAAATAAGTATTTCTTAAAGTTTAGGTGTAATCCATGCACAGCATGTGCTCTTCCACTGAGCAGTGGTTCCTCCTGTCACATAATACAACCATGAATATTCTTGTATACATATGAAAAACCTAAGAAGTGTGCTGATAGATTAGATCACAGACTCATCTACACCAGTGGAATACTTCCTTTGTGTTAACATATTCCTCCAGTTTTAAAAACAGATATTAATGTGCATACCATCCCTGAAAAAGTAGCAGGAGGAGCCTGTGAAAAGAAGTGTGAGGACACATCAGAGAAACAGAAGATGGGAATTTGCCTCTTGGTCAGAAGCACACTGATGGCAGGACAGCTTTCCACGGGATTTGTGCAGGTCCTAAACCAAGACATGGCAAAGAGTGGGTAGCAAAGAAATGGCATGAGGTACAGTGCTAAAAGCCCAAGCTAATTCTGCAAGATTTTGCCTATCAAGCCAGCAGTGTCTATACTGGCTGGCAAGTGTTTTCAAGGAACAATTCTCAGAAGTGGCAGTGGCAATTTTGCAAGTGAACAAATGCTGTTCCTGGCCTGGTGTCTGGACTCAGTGAATGGATAACATTTTCACATTCCTGTCTTCCTGCACATAAATAAGGGCTGAAGGAGTGAAGGAGGGAGTGGGGAAAAGGAATGTGAATGACCTTTATTCCCTTGTTTCCAACAGACTGCCAGGTAGGTAGCAGGTAAATTCTGACTTAGAGCTGTATGGCAAGAGCTCAAAACTATAGTGAAATGTGGCCCAAGATATTTTCCTGGCTATAGTCAAGGATAAATGGCACACCCCCTCCATTCAATGTACAGTAGCTAAGTGTACTGGCAGGTCAACCTTTTTTCAACACTATGGCTAGAGCTGGCACAATAAATTTGTGTGCTCAGCAGACCAATTTGGACCATGAAGGATAGACTACATACCCCACACCACTCTGTAATCCTAGCGCCTGGCACCATGCATCTCCATCTCTAAAATAGATGCCTCACTATGCCTAACAGTATACAGGGGGCTTATCTACAGTGTGTACACAGAGGATGGAAGCTCTCTGTTGCTCTGATTCCAGCACAATTTGTCTGATTCTTCTCTCTTCATCTCCTTGCTGATTTCAAGACCACCTGTCTCTTTGCAGAATGCTCTGCCCTCATTTGGTGTGCACATTCCACGCTATCATTCAAGGAGACAGGCAGGACATTGCACTGGCAGTTCAAACACTTTTCATGCAGTTCGTTTGTGGAAATAGGAATATGAACCATACAAAAGTTCATGAGAAAGATGAGTCAGTGGCAAAGCTTTATAGCTATGTCATCTCCTCGAGAGCCCCATGACTCTTTTTAGTACGGTGAAGTCTTGAGGCACAATGCAATGCTTCTGTGGCATAGGAAGGAGAAATTGGTATGAGGACTAGGTCTGTGCAAGATGCTCTAGACTGGAAGTTGTACAGGTATGCCCTGTGCCCAGCACAGCCAGCATAACAAGATTGTGGTCAAAAGGCATATTTATATACAGAAGAGTCCTGTTTCATGTGTGTCCTCTTTGTGTCGAAGCCAGAGCTCAGTCCCATCATGCCTCTTCAGCTGTTGCATCGATTCCTGCATAGGTGAAGTTCTCAAACAAAGCCATGTTCACATAGGCCTGCCAAGAGAGAGTAAGATTGAAGATGTAGGCTGTATTTGGCTCCCTTCCCTCCTCCTTTAGTGTGTGAATACATTTCCTTCCCAATTTCAGAGGAAAAAGACAAGATAATACATATTTCAATTGACACTGAGATCCTGCTGAGAGCAGACCCCATTCTAACATCTTGGGAAAAATGCCAAATGTAGGGCCCAGTGCTTTCTACTCTCTAGGGAGCATCTGCAACCCTTGAGGAAATCAAGACTACATCCAGCAATATATCCTTCTCAGGTGAAAGGAAGAATAAGGAGACTTGGTTACCTTAGTGAAGTCTGGCTATAAACATAGAATATAAGCAGAAGAGTGTGTGCTTTTAGAGTGCAGCAAGAATATCACCAATACCTTCCTAGCTTCCAACATGCGGATGAGCTGCACTGAGATCTGAGCAAAAGGTGGGCGTTCATATGGTCGGTCCCGCCAGCACTGCCGCATTAGCTCATAGCTGAAGGAAGAGGAGAGAAGTCAAGATGAAGCAAATATGCAAATGAAGGGAAACTGTCAGGATATTGGGAAGTAGATCTACTTGTGCATTTCTTTTAGTACCTTCAGCAATATAAAAAGTGTATGAATAAAAGGAGGTATATCTTCATACTATCATAGTGCATGGAAAAGAGAGAGAGAGAGAGCATGCAAATTAACATAAACGGGAGACAAGTATACAGCATGACCTGCATACTGTATACTCACTTATCCACAGTTTCATTCATTGCTTTGGGTCTCCCACATAAATGAAACCCTCTTCTCATTTTTCCATGCAAAATTATAAGGTTGCCTATTATCTATGGGTTCATATGTCTATGAGAAGTTCATAAATATATCCTACAGGGATCGTGCTGTGCATGTTGTGAGGGAATGTTTCCTAGAGACAGGGGTTTCTACTTACACTTCATCATCACAGTTGAGGGGCTTCTCCATACGGTATCCTTGGGGCAGCTTTTCATATAGCTCAGCACATGTCATGCCACAGTATGGTGTTCCTCCTTAGAAAGTTGAAAGATTAGAGTAGATATCACACTTACCTGCATTTTGGTACAAGCCGAGGCAAAATTCACACACTTTTCTGGATGTTGCTGGGGCAAAGCCAGGATTATGCAGTTCTCTTCATAAATCATTCATTTTGGATCACTGCATTCCCCGCACAGAGTGAAAAGGGCAGAGTGTGGAAACTATTTCTGGGGCCACACCTCCCCAAATTCTTCAGCCAACATAACATTTGGCCTGAAAGGTCTAGAAAATTGTTGCTACATTGGAAGCAACAAGATTGAGTTGAGTAGAATATGCAATGGACTACAAAAATTTTCTGCTGTGTTCCTAACATAAACCAAACATGAGGAAAGAACTGCTAATCTAAGGTGCAGCAACCCTCCTGACGTGAATGTTTCTATTCTTGCTATGCTATAAAGATTGGGCAGATGCATGATTGTTTCCATATCCTTGAACCAAAATGAGTCTAAGACAACCTGCCCTAAATCTCAATTGTAAACTCTACTGCAGAGATCCCTAAACTAAGGCCCATGGGCCTTAGTGGCCCTTAGTGGCCCTCCACTAAGGCCCTCCAAGGTTATTTATTACACATGGGCAATCCATGGTTCTAAATGGTTCTAAAGTACTTACAAAACTAGGGGGTGCTGGTGCTTTGCTTCTAAAGTGTTGCTAAAGTTCTGGTGGTGAAAATTTCAGAACTCTAACAAAACTTTCAAAATTTTGTTATAAATGGCAGTTCCTAACTGGTTCTGTCATAAAAATGGCCAATAATGAAATAATAATGAAATTTTGAATATTGTATTGTTCTTTCATATTTTGCACTATAAATAAGATGTGTGCAGTGTGCATAGCAATTCTTTTTTTTTTCAGACTATAGTCGGGTCTCCCAACAGTCTGAGGGACTGTAAAAAGTTTGAGGACCCCTGCTCTACTCAATCAATTGACAAATTTTAAGTTAATACTTATATGTAGGAACCATGGACCTCTTCAGATACCGCTGAATGGCAACTCCTAGCATTCTTCAAAATTGGCTACACTTGCTGGGGCCATTGGGACTCAAAATCCAACAGGTCTGATGATTCCCATGTCAACAACAACATCCGATTGCATACATCCGATTGCTAATCTAACTCAATTGCTCAATACATATATCCAATTGCTATCTCAATATATACATCCGATTGCTAATCTAACTCAATTGCTGAATGGTAAATTAATATTTATGTACAGCCAGTTGCTTCAATAACTATTCTAGTTTGGGCTAGCAATTACATTTAGATCTTGGATGCTGTTGGCATTTGACAGCGGATGTGGAATAAATGAGAACAAATTGTACAGAGCAGTTTGGGGCCCCAATACGATGCAAAGTAATAAAAGGCAATGTGCACAACAAGGCCAGACTGTTCCCATTAGATAGCAACTCACCCAGGCTGACAATTTCCCACAAGAGGACCCCAAACGACCACCTGCAACAGAAAGATAAGTTAGGATGTGGGCTGAGGTCCACCAGCACACTTAATTCTGCTATTGACCATGATGATTTTTGAAGCTATTTTGGTTCTGGCCTGTTTACTCCAGTACAAAACAAAAAGGGAAACATTCAAGCCATCAGGCTCTGTTTATTAACTGCAAATTATTTTAGTACTCAAAGCAAACACTGTTTCATTTCTTGTTTTTGATTTGGCCTGTTTTGTTTTGCAGTATTGAATTGTATGGTGTGATTGCCTTATCCATTCTTCCAATATTCTTGGTTTTACTTACCCACATTCCCCAAAAATATTGCCTGCAAAAGTGTTCATGGGCCCCTCTAGGTTCTCCAGTATAATTCTGTGGTATATTTCTATCCTGGGTATAGTTAAAATTTAGGGTTTGATATTATCAATAATTTCAGGCATCCAGGTAGGATTTTGGAACATATAACCTGTATTGCACAACATTTTAATTAAATTATTGATTCAGTGAGCAAGAGGCAGAAAATTATCTAAGCATTGTGTTGTCAAAGGCTTTCATGGCCAGAATCACTGGGTTTCTGTGAGTTTTCTGGGCTGTATGGCCATGTTCCAGAGAGAATGCTTCTGGAACATGGCCATACAGCTCAGAAAACTCACAGCAACCCACTATCTAAACATTCTTTTCCCTGTGGCCATTTTTTTTTCCTTTTAACATTTTCTACTTCTACCAGAAAAAGGAGCAAAGGTTTAGAGTTTGGAAGCCTCATCAACAATATGACCATTGAAAACCTTGCAAACCATACTTCAATCTATAATGGACCTTGTTCCCCAACCCACAATCCTCACATATAAATAACTCACACATCACTTTTAGTTGTGTATACGCTGTAATTCAAGGATTCGATGGCCATCCAACGAACTGGCAAGCGTCCCTGCAAAAAGAAGCAGGATTGTGGAAACAGAAGCCATATTTTAGATGAGGAGAAGGAAAGGAGATAAAGGAATGTTTTTCCCAGAACAGAAGGGAAGCCTAACCATTTGGGATTAGTGGCCTGGAGTCTTTCAGAATGGTATTCTTCTCTGTGTGTGCCTATGTGCCTTTCAAGTCATCTTGCAACTTATGACAACTCCCTGAATTTCACAGAGGTCAAATATTCCTTTCTTATTTATTTATTTAGTTAGTTAGTTAGTTAGTTGTTTATTCGTTCAGTCGCTTCCAACTGTTCATGACCTCATGGACCTGCCCACGCCAGAGCTCCCTGTTGGCTGTGGCCACCCCGAGCTCCTTCAAAGTCAAGCCAGTCACTTCAAGGATACCATCCATCCATCTTGCCCTTGGTCGGCCCCTCTTCCTTTTTCCTTCCATTTCCCCCAGCATCATTGTCTTCCCCAAGCTTTCCTGCCTTCTCATTATGTGGCCAAAGTACTTCATCTTTGCCTCTAATATCCTTCCTTCCAATGAGCAGTCAGGCATTTATTTATGATATTTCTACCCCACCTTTCTCAAACCCGAAGGTGACTCAAGGTGGTTTATAACCCGGTAGCCGTTTGATGCCGTAACCATATACAGTATAAAATAGGCAAGAAATATTCAGTGGTGGTTCTTCCAGTTCCTTCCTCTAAACTATAAAGTGCCAATTACACTCTGCAGTGCTCCTACATCTAGGCTCACCATTGTCTTCTTCACGTAAACTTCCTCCCCCCGGGATAAGCCAAAATCAGCAATTTTGGAAGTCAAGTTTTCTCCCACCAGGATGTTTCTGGCAGCCAAGTCTCTGTGGATAAACTAGAAGAGAAAGATAATTACACTGAGTCTCCTTTCTTAATTAAGAATGCAAATTTTTTTTTACAAAGAAATACATTTATCTTATGCATTCAACCAATTCTCTAACATGCCTGTTTCCCTGGAAAGTAATCACACCATCTGCTTTTTAATAAAGAATATTAATATTTATGAATGCAAGTACATGAGATAGAAAGATATGATAGATTTAGTTCTAAACCAATTGAAATAACTGTTGATCCATGCTTAACGTTTTACTTGGAGCAAAGCAAGCATGTCCTCCTTGGAGGATTAAGAGGTGAGACGATAGGAGCAACCTCAACAGTATCAGTCTAGTTTGCAAGGAAGGTCACAAAGGTTGAGCAGATAAAGGGCAATCCAGTAATTACCTATACTTACCCACGCAACCACATGTAACTTGAGCATAAGCTGAATTTCATCTCTATCATCACCAATAAATCCTGTCCTATATTGCATCCCATGAATTGTTTCTACATTAGTCTGTTTTTCTGAAGAGCCACACTGAAATCCAGTCAGCCTGTTCTCTTTTCATATTTCCTTCATCCCAAATGTACTTCTGCTGTTGCAGCTATTGGAAATCAATCCCTAGAACTGCAACATGTCTGTGGACTTTATCCATCAGCCCTATCCTCACAATTGTCTTTGCATCAGTCCGCCCACCCAGAAACTGATTGTTATCATAGAGTTCATTGATTGTTGGTTGATGTTTTGCTTTTATATTTTGTTATGTATAATGTTGTTTTATTCTGTTTTATGTTGCCATTATATATTTTAATGTGCTATTTTAATTATGCTGTTCAGGCTTGTCCCTATGTAAGCTGCCCCGAATCCCTTTGGGGAGATGGAGGCGGAGTATAAAAATAAAGTTGTTGTTGTTGTTGTTGTTATTATTATTATTATTATTATTATTATTATTATTATTATTATTATTTCAAACTCATGAAATACATTACTGAAAACCTCAATGATCCACATTGAAGAACTGATCCATGAGAATCCAGCCCAGTGAGCAACACATAGCTGGATGGGCACAAACCTGCTTTTCACTTAAGTACTGCATGCCTTTGGCCACATCAGAGGCAAACTGCAAGAGTTGTTGAGATGTGAGGGTTGAAGCTGTTCCATGTTCTCTGGCAAAGGCTGGATCTGTCTCCAAGACTCTGCTCTTGCGAAGGAAGTCTAGCAAGTTCCCATAAGGTGCATATTCAATAGCGATATACAGGTATCCTAGGGGAAAAGGGGAAAGTCTATCAGGTGGGCCCAAAACCATAGATATTGTTGATTTGCCATTATTAGAAGTTGGGGAGAGAAAGCTAGCAGGCTTATGAGAACAGTCTGTTTTAAAATGATAAGTAGGTATATAGTTGGTGGAGTCTGGACCTGTTTATTTATTTTTATTTATTTATTTACAGTATTTATATTCTGCCCTTCTCACCCTGAAGGGGACTTAGGGCAGATCGCAATGTACACATACACGGCAAACATTCAATGGCGTTTCAGACATACAAGCCAAACAGATAGATAGAAGTATTTTGTCATTTTCCAACTTTGGCACCTGGAGGGGGTGCTGTTGCTCCATCCGCTATGTCGATGAGTCCTTTTTGATTGTAAAATTTCCCCCCTTGTTCTTTGATCACCACCATTTTATGATGTCGTAAAATACCTTCCCACTAAAGCGGTGCCTAATTTCTCTACTCACAGCTCAGCTGTTTTCGAACTACTTAGGTGGACAGTAAGTGATCGGGTGCTCAATCTGACTTGGACTTCGCACCTGCCACCTTCTGGTCGGCAGTGATTCATTGCTAATGGCAACTAACCAGCTGTGCTACAGCCCAGCCCAATAGGAAAGTATTTTCCAACTGTGACAAGATAAGGCACAAGATGCTGGTTCTTTATAAATAGTCCTAAGGAGGATGAAAGTAGAAAAATACAGAACTCTAAAAGAGCAAACAGAACAATAGTCAAAGGGCTAAACAAGATTTCCCCAGCACCACAGTAACCTCTTCCTCTCTACAGCCTACCAGTGTCTTTTGTGGAGAAAATGTGTTTTTTAAACCACAGCATCTCCTCCTCACTTATAAAAACTTTGGAAGAGTCCTAGTTCATATCCAAGAAATTACTTCAAACAAATGGAAAAAGTGTTTTTTGAATCATTGTGTTGTCTTATTAACCTGTATCTTCCCCTCCTTGGAATGAATGGGCACAGAGATGATAACAGTTGGCAAAGCCCACAAGAATTCAAGCTTCTTTAGACTAATATGGAAGAGTACTAGAAGAGGCTTTCAAAAATGCAATGCTTTAAGTCACTTATGTCACTAGGTGGTGCCAGTACTGTGGCAGCAGCTTTGGAGCCAGAAGCACAATGTTTGGGTTGGGGGAGTAGTGCCTAAGAAAGAGTCACAATAATGAGGAATGGATTACCATGTACCAAAGTCACTCACCCTTATTCTCACAGGCTCCCAGCAGGTTGATGATATTTGGATGGTGGCCCAGCTTACAGAGCACTTCCAGCTCTCCAGCAAAGTCCCGGTGGTCATTCTCAGAGGCAAATTCTGAAACACAGATTCAGATGCCACATCTTAGCCCTGAGTTTGATGGAAGTGTTCAAGAGGATGGAATTGTTCAAAGAAACCTATGCTCATCATACATGAGATGGGAGTTTGTGAGCAATCCCTGAATTCAGGTATACAGATCAAATGAATCAATGAATCTTGCATGAATCAATGCTGGATGTGATTAGAGACAAAAATTGTTGTGAGCACATGTGACTGTTCTGCAGGTACACAAAAAAGGTGTTACTTGTATGTATCCATAGCAAAGATAATGGCATAGGCCAACTTCAGTCCGCTCTCCAGGTGTTTGGACTCCAAAACATCTGGAGGGCAGGTCGAAGTTGGGCCATGCCTGCCCTAGACTCATTGTGCCATCAACCATAGAATCGCTATTAACAGAGGGTGAAACAACCACAAGCTATTTTGAGAAAAGCTTTTGCTCAGTGATAAGGCACACATTGCTTATAAAATGTCCTGGACCCATCCGATGGCAATTTTGGCTAGGGAATGGGAGAAACCCCAGTATAAAAGTCGCTATTAATCTGAGTTGAAAATACTGAGCCATACTAATAGTTACTGGTTTCTTCTGTAGTACAAAGAGATCTCCTATCATAACAAGGGGTTATAATTTCCTGCTTCAGACCTGTAGGTTGGGCTAGATCAGTGTTTCTCAACCTGTGGGTCCCCAGGTGTTTTAGTCTACAACTCCCAGAAATTCCAGGCAGTTTACCAGCTGTTAAGATTTCTGAGAGTTGATGGTGAAAACATCTGGGCACCCACAGGCTGAGAACCACTGGGCTAGATGATTCCCTAGAAATAATAAATCATTTCTGACTTATTATAACTCTAAGGTTATAATAAGTTTTTTACAAGATCTGTTCAGAGTCACACCCTGTTAGCCTCAGAGGAAGGCAAGAACAAGCCCCTATGAACAAATCTTGCCCCTTGTGCCCTGTCTAGCCTTTTCCCCTGCTCCCCAGTCTGTGAATAGCCTCCGAGTTACATTGGTTAAGGTTCCCAAACTTGAGTCCTGTAATGTTGGATTTCAGCTCCCAGAAGCCTCAGTTGGAACAGCAGATGAAAATGAAGCCTGAGAGTTGTAGTCGTTCAACAACATTCAGGCTTTAAAGATTTTGGGCTGCTTGTTCAGTACTTAGATGAGAATATCTCACCTTTCAGCATCTTGATGGCAGCGTTCATTCTCAGGCCGTCTTTCTTGATCATGGCTCGGATGACTTGTCCAAAGTTGCCTTCTCCTATCATGTCCTCAAACTTGATGTCTTCCCACTCCAGGATGGGGTAGCTGAGAGGCTCAGGCTGTGGCTTGGGTCGGCGGGTCAGGGTCAGCGTGCCTGAGTTGAACTGCAGGATGGTCTCTTCTCCCTGAAAGATCAAGAGTTGATGGAGAGGACAGTTGGTATGTGCATTACAAACCAACATATCCTCCAATATTTTGCACATAAAAACAGGATACTTATGACCAAGAAACAAAGCGTGGTTAAGGTGGCAAACATTATTAATGAGAAAGAACACACAGGTGAGTAAAGGCTGCAGCAGTTTATTTTTGCCTGAGCCTACTGGGAAAGGCAGGATTCCACCCTCTTCCTTCCTTCTTGCTGAGTGCAAACTACTTATGCACTTTGAATTTAGTTTGTAGCAACTGAGGTAAGCTGAGGACAAATGGGGAAGAAAATGGGAAGAGGAGAGAGAAACGGGGACTTCTAAAAGCAGCTGAAAAAGTGGAATGGCAAAGGATTAATCAGAAATGTTCCTGCCAAATTGCAACATTTGGAGGGTATGCACCAAACAGGCAAGGAGTAATAGAAAGCTAAAAGTAGAGGTGAAGCAGAGGTGGTGGTTTGCTCAGGGGCACCATCACTCACAGAGCCCGACTGGTAAGTGAATGTCCGACGTCGATGGAAGAAGTTTTTCTTGATCAGGAAAAGAGCCAGAAGGGCAAACAAGATGGTCAGGCAGGTGACAGAGACGGAGCCGACAATTGCCAACAGCAGCTGCTTATCCATGTTGGAAGGAGACGGATTTCTGCTCCCTAGGGTGGGTTCTTGGCTCAGTGCTCCTGTTACGGAAAGGAGAGAGGAAGTAGGAAAGGAGGGGAGAAAGGGAAGGAGAAAAGGAGAGATTGAGAGACAGAGAAAGAGAGAAGAATACTTTGTGAGAGTCCCTAGTTTTGTGGTGAAAGAAAAACTGGCAAGCTCATAACATTCTAAGGACTTAGGGATGTTTTCAGTGTGTCTTGCCTCACCTCATTCTTAAAATTTTAGGGAGGGAGGGTCCAGATAACAATATCTTGAATTTCTAGCTTTCTGATTGCCTTTCTTCCATGGTGTGGAAAGATTATTATTTTTATGTTATTTTTCTTATGTTGCTGCTTCAGAACTACAACTGATAATTTAGTTAGATGACAGACAGAACCATTCTGGAATGATTTTGAACTGGCTGCATTAAGAGGGCTTTTGAACTATTCTATCTCCCAGATGGGAGATAGTACTTGGTGTTTAGATTCAATTTGCTGGGATACAGTTGTGATTATATTCTGCTTGGCCCAAATTGTGGGCATCTGAGAGTTGCTGTAGGCATGGCAACCCTTCTGCCCTTCTGTAGCTTGGTCCCCAACTCACTGGTAGTGTACCCACACTGAAAATTATAGTATTTGAGCCCTCTTTAGTTGCCATAGTCCCAGCCTTTGGAATCCTCTGGTTTTTAGTTTGGGGAAGTGCCCTCAATTGAACTTTATCACTTTTGCTCTGTCAGAAAACACCAAACACACTACATAACATCACAAACCCCATGATTCTGGGGGATGGAGGCATGGCAATTAAAAGTGGGATCAAAGGACCATAAACAGTGCAGTATGGATACATCTGGGGTAAACTAGCCAATGAGCCCATTTGTCCACTCACCATCACCCAAGTTCTCAGCCCTCACAGGTGTGCTCCACTCGCCTGGTACGTAGGACTTGGCTCGCACTCTGAACTGATAGAGAATGCTACTGTTGAGCCCCACAATGACCTTGGTTGTGTCCCAGCCATTTTCTGTGTCCACCCATTGTGGTTCGGTGGTACCCCCCAGCTGTTGCACCTCTACAATGTACTTGTTGATGCCACCATTGGGATATTCGGGGGGCAGCCATGTGAGCTTGACACTGCTGTCAGTGAGGCGTTCCACTGCAAGAGACAATGGGGAAGAAGGGCCTGGGAGGAGGAAGGGGAAAATGTGGAACAGTTATCAGCTCTGTTGTCTCCGTATGGAACATAAGCCAGGTTACATACATGTATACAGGGAACCTCTGGAGCACGGGACAATCCATCTCTAGTGCGGTTGGTGGGGACAAGAGAGAGGGCCTTCTCGGTGGTGGCCCCCTGGCTCTGTAACGCCCTCCCCAGGGAACTTAGACAAGCCCCTACACTACAACACTTTAGGAAAGAGTTAAAACTTGTTTTTTTTAGCAAGCCTTTGATAATGTTTAGACAGTAACCAGAACTGATTGCCAATCATTTAGCACTTTATATCTACATTCTATGTGCATTCAGCTGGGTTGCTACATTGATTGCATGGATCTTTTAACTGACTCTACTTTGAAAATAGTTGTTTTGTCCAATTTATACATCTGGTTTATGCAATGTATCATTGTTTTCATGTTTGATGTATTTTATTTTATGTATTATGTATTTTATGTATGGCACCTTTGTGTGCTATTTTGTAAACTGCCCCGAGTCCCTATGGGAGATGGTGGCGGGGTATAAAGAAAACGTGATTATGATTATTGATCAGCAAGGTTTTCATCTGGGCTGAGGAGCAAGGTAGCTGCATTAGGCAGCAGATATGGAAGGGAAGCAATTTGTTATTTAGATTATTATTTAATTATTGAGTTCTCACTATCAGGGAAAGGTAGGGGTATATGTGAGATTTTCCTGCCTCTTATGCTTTTTTCATGTCAGGAGCAACTTGAGAAACTGCAAGTAGCTTCTGGTGTGAGAGAGTTGGCTGTCTGCAAGGACGTTGCCCGGGGGACTCCCGGATGTTTTACTGTCCTGTGGGAGGCTTCTCTCATGTCCCTGCACGGGAAGCTGGAGCTGACAGATGGGAGCTCATTCCATTACCAAGATTCAAACTGCTGACCTTTTGATCAGCAGTGCTGCCACTACAAGGGTGTAACCCATTGCACCACCGGGGGCTCCTCTTGTGCTAAAATAACTTGATTGCCATCAGAAGCTAGGCACTGTGCCATCGGGGTGGCAGTGATGTCATTTGCTCTTTTTCCCCTCAAACAATCAAATGTCTTGGCCTTAATTGCCATGGTGCTGGAAAAACAATGATTAGGTGACGGTGAATGTTCCAAAAGTGGTACTTGGCTTCCCACCTGTGAACACATATTGATCATCTTCATTGGGAGCTCACAGGGTCAAAACTCAAAATGGTTTTTAAAACCCCAGTATGGTGACAGATTAATTCAGTGTCCCTGCTAACCAAGACTATTTGATTAGTGTCCTGAGATTTTGCTGTGCACTCTGAGTTTACCTGCAATCTTTGTCATTGCAGATGAGGGTAACAGATTGTCCCAGTAATAATATATTGTTATGCATTTTCCCTATTGTAATGCAGACATGTCAAGAAGCAGTTGAGACCCAGTTTTCAAATGACCCACTCCAAGTACGGATAAAAACAGCTTGCTGACATTTTTGGATTCTCTTTTGTGGGTATTGCTATGGGGGTGATCCTGATGACTGTTTGTCCTTCAAAATTTAGCAGTACACAGTAATGTTAGGACAAATAATATTTAACATTACACAGAAGGAAACTGATTTACATGTTTGAGACCCATCAATCACACAGCAGTGGGCCAATCAAAGGCTGGGGCAGCACTGTAGAGCCCTGCTCCATTTAGAACATCTCTGACAAAAAAAATCCCAAAACTATACCACGTAATCCCATCTCAGATGATAATGTTATATCCTACTTCCCACCTTTGCTGTTGATCTTGACCTTGTAGGGATCAGATGGTGGTCCCAGGCTGGCACAATGATAAACTAGCACTTCCAGGCTATACTCCTTGTTGAATTTAAGGTTTGGGATACAGGCAGACTGCACAGTCATGGAAGTAATGTTCTCCCGATGCACAAGCTCTTTGGCTGGGTCATAGAGCTGGACAAGGAACCCAGAGCCCACAGTGTCGCTCTTGGGCAAGTTCCAGTTTGCACACAGATTTTGGCTCCCTTCAAAAAATATATTTTCAATCACAGGCTTGGCTGTTGGCTCTGTGTGGAACAGAAAAATCAAAAATTCATCAGTCTGATTCGGTTGTTAGCACCTGGGAGCAAGAAGTTTCAGGGCTGTTTTTTTTCCAGCCAGAGCCATGAGTGATCAGTACAACACATACCTACCATCACTAGCAAAAGAGACAGGTTAGTAAGTTCTGTGTTTCAGTTCCCACGTTTCTAACAGTTGACCATTTAGAAATACACTTTCGGTATCCAGAAAGGGCAGAAGGGGAGATAAAGACACCAAGCGAATAGAAACACACCATGGTATGAACGATTTTCAGTGCCTCGTTCTATGTAATATGCATTTTCATAGAATCATAGAATCAAAGAGTTGGAAGAGACCTCATGGGCCATCCAGTCCAACCCCCTGCCAAGAAGCAGGAATATTGCATTCAAATCACCCCTGACAGATGGCCATCCAGCCTCTGTTTAAAAGCTTCCAAAGAAGGAGCCTCCACACACTCCGGGGCAGAGAGTTCCACTGCTGAACGGCTCTCACAGTCAGGAAGTTCTTCCTAATGTTCAGATGGAATCTCCTCTCTCAGTAGTTTGAAGCCATTGTTCGCATCCTAGTCTCCAAGGAAGCAGAAAACAAGCTTGCTCCTCCTCCCTGTGGCTTCCTCTCACATATTTATACATGGCTATCATATCTCCTCTCAGCCTTCTCTTCTTCAGGCTAAACATGCCCAGCTCCTTAAGCCGCTCCTCATAGGGCTTGTTCTCCAGACCCTTGATCCTTTAGTCACCCTCCTCTGGACACATCCCAGCTTGTCAATATCTCTCTTGAATTGTGGTGCCCAGAATTGGACACAATATTCCAGATGTGGTCTAACCAAAGCAGAATAGAGGGGTAGCATTACTTCCTTAGATCTAGACACTATGCTCCTATTGATGCAGGCCAAAATCCCATTGGCTTTTTTTGGCTTTTTTTTGAAGGCTTCCTTTCTGCTGAAACCCAGGATCCCTTGAAGGGAAAAAAGGAAAGGTCCCAGGAACGGAAAGGGAAGCCTTATAAGTTCCCCATTGCTGCTATTGGACCGGATCTAGCTGTATTTCTCAGCTACGGACCAAAAATGGCTATCCACTACCTACCCGTTTTTGGGAGGTAAGCGAAAATGGATACGGGGGTCTACCAGAATCCAGCCAGCAGAAACAGATCCAGGTTTCACTGAAATGCACAAGCCTAATAAACACAGACAATGATAGAGAACACTGGGACCTGAAGTCCAACATCTCAGGGCCTACTGAACTCCTACAACAAATCTACATCAGATCCTGGAAATTGTATTCTAGTTGTGAGACTTGTTTTTTGTTTACTCAGTTGTAGATGTGGTGGGGACATACAGGTCAGCCATGTATGGGGACACAGTTGGCAGTGGATAAGATGACCCATTAAGACATGAATATACATAAACATGGACACGGGATTTCCCTATCTGCACACATACACATATATCTTTCATTGTCCTAGTCGTATACATAATCACACAAGTGTTTCACAGTGCCTAATGTTTGACATAGTTGTTACTGTAATTGCTGTTGTTAACAAAATGTTTAACATAGGACCCTCTTTCCATTGATTACTAGTAATAATATATACTTTCAAGTCATCAACTGACTTACGGCAGTCCCGTGTATTTCATACCTCCAGGAGCAAAATAAACATATTAATGAAGATCCACTTCATATGCACCATGTATAGAGACCTGCTCATCTGAATGTTAGACGCTTATGCTTCCAGAAACAAAAACAATGAGAAGCACAAAGGAACTACAGCTCTGGGTATGTCTTCTTTGTCTGGAAGGATGGCTGGACAAGAACCCTGGTTGAATCCGAGCCATAATAAATAATTCCATTTCCTTCTCCACATCCTGGAAGCAGCTGCTCTTAAACTCAAACCGTTGAGTATATCATATCCTAAGCAGATATATAGCAAGTAGTACTCACACATGCATTCATGGAAGAACTTTCCCCCCTCTCTTTTTGGGCATTTCCCATCTAGGCTCACTGGGCTCACTAAGCATCAAATACTGACCTTGGCACTCTGTTACCATCACCGCCACAGGTCCGGGTGCACCTTCCCCTCCAACTTCAGGGCGTGTAAGCTGAACTTTAACCAGGTAAGCAGTGACAGGTAGCAGTTTTGTCAGGGTGACATTTTGGGCATTGCCAACTGTTGATGAGATTAGGTGTCATTAATGCAATCCCATTGTCTTGGCTCCATATGTATCCTGTTGCAACCCCCCCCCCCCCCCCCCCCCCCCCCCCGCTGACACTTCTATTGGAATATCTGTAGCCTTTTCATACTGATCTACAGTAATGCAACCCTCCTAATGTTGCTATTCAGCATATCCCAGCACTCCTGCTCATCAGCTATGATGTCTCAGAATCAGTCCAACAAAATCAGCAAGTTACACTTTGCCTCCTCTTGCAATAACTACTACAGATCAGTACTAGTCTTCCTGGCTATAGCTAACTCTGGGGACCAGCTCCATCCCCCATACCTCTTTCAGCAGTGCGGACAAAGCCCAAAGAAAGCCTATGACTTCATGGTTGCATGTACAATAAACAGATTGTTGCCCAACATCCCAGTTATCTTTGTGTACCATTCATAAAAAGCATCTATCTCACAGCTGGCACTTAATGGTGTTCGATATGTGCTGCAGAGAGGGAAAAGGCAAATGATTTTTGCAATTCTTCCTTCCTCCTCTAGTTCCCCATGCATCCCCTCCCCCCTCCCCCTTCACCACAAAAGGTGTCCTAAAAAACTAGGGAATAGTAGGGTACAGGTTTTGCAGGGATAATTTCTAAGTGCATCCAGGGATGTAATGGAAGAAGGAGGGATGAGGGTGCTACCTCTAAATAAGAATTCTGTCTTCCAAATGAAATGCTCATTCCATCTCCAAATTTATAGCATTGTAGAGAGCAAGAAACTGAAAATAATGTACTGTCAAAGGCCTTCATGGCTGGAATCACTGGGTTGTTTTAGTTTTTTTGGATTGTATGGCTTTGTTCTCAAAGCATTCTCTCCTGACATTTTCCCTGCATCTATGGCAGGCAACCCCAGAGGTTGTGAGGTCTCACAATCTCCGAGGGTGCCTGCCATAGATGCAGGCAAAACGTCAGGAGAGAATGCTTCTATTACATGGCCATACAAACCAAAAAACCTACAACAACCACAATGAAAACAACTGACATTTTATCACACTAGAGAAAACACTTTATCACACTAGAGAAAAAAATCCACTTAAAATCCCTGCAGAATTCTGGGGTTTGTAGTCAGTGAGATGGTTAAAGGCTCCTCCCTAAACTACAGACCCCAGAATGTACTCTTGTATTAGAACTCTTGTATTTGCTGTGTTTGCATTTCCTTGGTAACTTTGCCTGCCTCTTCTTCAGATGTCTAAACTGTATCTCTAAATGCTTAATGGGAATTTTAAAATACTACAATGCTAGAAATGTGATGATTTAAGGAAAATTTCAAAGGAATGGGCAGAATTCTAGGATGCGTGTGTCAATGCTCCATTTCCACCTGTTTCAGAGCTATATCCCTGGATTACCTTTCTGCTCAAACTCCAGTAGAAACCTCCACAGAGTCCTTCTTATATAGACAGAAGAAACCCTTTTGTTCACAGATTGACTAATTTGGATCCATTCTAAAGACCATTGGACACTGAGCCCTGTTATGGAACACCAACTTCATCCAGACCCAGCAATCCCCTTACCTACAATAGCTAACCAATGTGAAGAGCCAAGTTGGGGCTTGTAGAGAACCTTGATGGAAATGATGGGTCCATCCCCAGAAATGTGCCCTATGGGAGATATGGTAAGCTGTCGACTCTTCTTGGCCAGGAGCGTGGGTGGGCTTAGTGGCACAGGAGGCACTAAGAGAGGAAACAATATCAATGTTGAAGAAAGCAGACAAGGGACATGCAGATTTTACTTTTAATCCTAGAAGAAAGATGTCGTGAGCAATGAAAACAACTCTACTTCAAATACATCTCATAAGGTATTTCTCCTGAATAGTATCTATCTGGCACAATCCTCATTCCATCTCCCCGCTTGATCCAGTTTGAGATTGCTTTACTTGAAAACCTGCACTTTCTTATCATACTTTCATGCTGTTTGGACAACTACTGTGAAATGTCTTATGGGAAGAACTCTTTTTAAAGAAGCCTGCAACTCAGAAAAACTTGCACACTTTGTATGGCAATGTTTTAGGAGTCCAGTGTCATACAATGAAAGACGCCTTCCTGATCGTTTTGTATTTCTAAGAAGCAGAGCACTTCTAGCTCTGAGCATGACATCTCCCCATCTGCACTGTCTGCTCACCTTTCACGGTGACCTTGAACTTGCCACTATCCTGCCCTCCAGTAGTAGAGACACGGCATTCCCAGAGACACATGTCAGAGAGGGTCACTGGTGGAACTTGAAATTCACAGGTCGTCTTATCTTTTTCCATGATGGCTTTCGTAGGCTAGACAGGAGAAAAGAACATCAACTGCAGCCTCTGCTGACCACCTGATACACAGTCATCTTGACTAGACAACATTAATAACCTTAGGCTCCATGAAATTGGCATTCCCCTTTTAGAACCACCCAGGTTAGAAGTATCACCACTGTACCGAGTAAGCTCAAAAAGCAGAGGGAAAAGAACATGGGGACTAGAAATGGGATAGGGTCTAACCCAGGGTGTGACAATACCTTACCATGATCACTGTTCCATCGACCTTGCGCAATTCAATGCTGTCACGCACAGGGGGTGGGTTGCCTGTTGCCGTGCAAGTAACTACAGGCTGAGAGCCTACATTAAACTCCAAGTGAGAAGGCAAATCGATGAGCTGGGGTATCCGATCTTAGAAACAGAACATCAAGAAAGCAAAGTGTTATTACTTAGTAGTGAAAAGGTACATTAAAATGTTTGACATGTTTTGTGATGTTTATCTGGTGCCCCCTTATACCGCTAGGGCATGACCTATGGATAATAAGTTGGGCCTATATGTTTTATAGATCCCATGTTTTGGAATTAGTAGTCAGCTCCTGGCTCCTAAGAATGCACTTTCAGCCAAGGAACTTTTACCTGACTTTTCGCAGTGCTGTCCGTGCCACCCAGCTGGGCAGATGCAGCCACTGAACCGGTTACAAGTGCCTCCATTTTCACAATGACATTGCAGGGCACAATTGGGGCCATACTTCTCAGGGGAACAGGCTGCAGGAAGAACACAAGAAATGGAAACCAACATCTTCTGAATCTGAAGTGATAGAACGGTATGTGAACAGACTTCACATGAGTTCCCCTTGGGATTGAGAAAGGCGGGATATAAATATAGTAAATAAATAAATAAATTCTTGAGCTATGTGATGTGGTAGAATGGCAGGTTGTTGTTTTGCCAATGTGCCAGGAATGGCATCATATTTGTATCCATTGGCTATTCTTTCTGGAAATTCACCACAGACCAGCAGTCAATAACTCACAGCCTTTTATCACTCTACAGACCACAATTTCGAGTTACATTGCCATAAGCAAAACAAAATCTTCACAATGCATCAATGAAGCTGGCTGTTTTTTTCTAGATCTTCTCCATTTCATTAGAGATCATGATAGAGGTTGAAGGCAGGGTGGTAGGCTGGGCCTGAAAAATAACTGTTGAGCTCTCAGTCAAGAAAAGATACCATACATAATAAACACAAGCAAGGTGGTATGAGTGTGGTGGCATTTGAACCAGGATATGATTTATGAATGGTGATAACATCTCACAACAGAAAAAGAGGAAAAATTTCATAAGATCAATGGAATGCTCTAAACAACCCATGTGCATTTGACCTTACAGGTCAAAGATAGTTGTGAGGATGAAACCAGAGAAATAACTTGCACCCCACCACTGAAATTTTTGGAATCCACATCAGCAAGGAAAGCTCTGTGATTTATGTTTGTAGCACCCAAAGGTTAAGAAAAAATAATAATCAGAAATCTGAAAGCAATCGAAGAAAGCATAAAGGCAGAGTAACCACTGAATATTAAGAAAACAACAGTAATGATAACAGGCGATTTACATAACTTTAAAGTAGACAATGAAGGCACTGAAATAGCTCAAGATGTTCCTTGGTTCAGTCATTAATCAGAGTGAAGACTGCAGCCAAGAAATCAGAGGAAAAATAGGACTTGGAAAGGCAGCTAGGCAAGATCCTAGAGCAGTGGTTCCCAACTTGGGGTCTGTGGACCACCAGTGGTCTGCTAGAACTAAAATATGGTCTGTGGCCTCACCATTACTACACTGTTGCAACAAGAGCAACTTCTCTCGCAAAACCCTCTTATAGTGCTGAGGCAACTGGGATGTTGGGAGGAAAGTAGCTGACTACCCATGAAAGGCGCGACAACAAGTGTCCTGACTGCTGCTTCTCCTCCCCCTTGCTCCCCCTGAGTAGAACAGTTCAGTGTGGCACCTGGAATAGGGTGCTCCTTGGTGTCTTCATTTTTTGGTTTCTGGAGTTATTTGGGGTGCTGATTCAGAAAATTGCTTTGGATAGACCACATCAACTCTAGATTATTAAATATTGTTTTCTTTGGTGAGCAGATGGTGACTACTGGATGGCATATGTTCTTTATTAGAAACTAGATCTGGTGTGGTGTATCTGAATGCAGTTTTCTGAATCAGCACCCCAAATAACCAAACCGCATCTAAAGTTGACTAATATTGGAGAGTGGTCCCTGGTCAAGTGGTCCCTGGTCAAAGTGGTCCCTGGTCAAAAAAGGTTGGGAAACACTGTTCTAGAGTGTAAAGATATATAATTGAATAGTAAAGTTAGTTCTGGTTCATGCTACTGTGTTTCCAATTTCTATGCATAGTTGTGAAAGCTGGACAGTGAAGTAATTTGATAGGAAGAAAAAATGGTACTGGAGGAGAGTTCTGTGGGCATCCTAGACTTCCAAAAAAGCAAATGAATGGGTTCTAGAGCAAATCAAGAATAAACTCTCTCTAGAAACCAAGCTGACTAAACGGAGACTGTCATACTTTGGCTATGTCTTAAGACAGGGCTCATCAAAAACACTAGGGATGCTATAAGTCAAGTCAAAGTCAACTTGACTGTTAAGAATGACAATCCAAAATGCGTGTTTAGGACTAGGGAATAACTTTCCTTGGTTCCCTTCAGTATTCCCTTCTCCACAAACAAACATGGATGAGGATTGCCTAGGGAAAAGGGAAGGCAAGAAGCAAATGGCAGAGACAGGAAAGGGCTTCTTTTAAGATTCTCTTTATTGTGGAACTTCCTGCATGCAAGGATAATTTTTCTCTTGGCAAGCTGGGGCCAAACAGGAGGGAAACAATTCGAAGGAAACAAAGGGAGGAAGCTACTCTCTCCTGGCTATTAGCCAGGCAGAGTCCCAACGCAGAGAGCAACCAAAGCTGTATGAAAACACTAACCAAAGTTGTGTGTATTTGAGATGGAGGCAAAGTTCTTTTGCCCCCACCCATCAAGATTTCCCAGAAACCATGTCTTCTTTGTCAGTAAGAACAATGAAATAATTAGTTTGCATCAAAATTTAAATAACACAACCTGGTGAAATCTACTTTCTGTGATGATATCTATTGTTCCCAACTCCCTGTGTTCTCTCTCATGTAGTCACCAAACCCTCTTTGTCACAGGAAGACAATGACTCAGTTTACATATTAGCTGCAGTTTTATAAGATTCTCTAAATAATGTATTGTAGGTTCAGGATATTTTTCTACTTTTTTTCTTTTTCTTTTGCCAACAATGTGAAATGGGCATGGTAGAAATATCATCATGCAGTAAATTGATGGTATCAAAAATTAGGGTTACAACCAGACTCTAATTGCTCCCCCACCACTTCTGCATCTCCCTGTGACTGCTTTACATCCATTCAAGTAGCCTGAAACTTCACTACATCAAGAAATTATGTGGATAGAGAATGAAGGAGCTTTCATAAAACAAAGCCAGAGCTTGAAAAAAATGTTTGGACTGTAACTGAGAGAATACATCAGCTAGTTTGGCTAGTGGCCCTACTGACTGGGAAATTATGGAGGTTACAGCACACAAATAGACATGGTTATTAGGCCTGTGCGGTTTCGTTCGTTAATTCTGTATTTCGGAAAACATTCGTTATTTTTAGCATTTACG